GCCGGGTGGGGGGGGGGGGGGGGGCCGGGCCCCTCCCCAGAGCCCCGGCTCCGGCCGACGGCGGGCGGAGCAGCAGATCGCTCCTGCTGCAGCCTCCCTCGTCAGAGTTTTCTTTGGAAAGTTGCATTTATTTTCTTCCCTTGTCTGGGCTTCACCGGAAAGGGGCAGGATGAGTCACCGCGCGCACGCAGTCCGGGACATGGGGGAGCCTGGAAAGGGGCCGACGGTCGGGGAGCCGCGCGGTGTTCAGTTTGGGGCCGGCTCTCCGGGGGTGGTGGGTGGTTACCGAGGGAGGGTAAGGGGACCGAGCCCTTTTGGACATTAGTCCTGGGGCAAGGCTCTGGGCAGGATTGACGCTGGAGTGAGTGTGTGAGTGAGAGAGAGAGAGAGAGAGGGTGAGAGTGTAAGGGTGTGTATATTACTGCCCCCTTGCAGACTCGTTTGTATCTCTGGGGTGGGGAAGAGAGGCCCGTCCAGGGGCTCAGGTAGGGTTGGCAAGAGTTCTGACAGCAATCAGGTGTGATGTGGCCGCACCTGGGCAGCTTTGCCAGCTCTAGGCTTGAGAAGCAGCAGCAGCCCCTGCCTGGAGGCCTTTCCTGAAAGAGGGTCAGTCCTCAAGTCTTCCCTTCTCCCTTGGGCACTGGAGTCCCTTGAGTGGTTCTGCCCTTGACCTCTGAATCAGCCTCCATCTTCCTGACAGACACTTGACCTGCTCAGCTTTTCCCTGGCTCAGGGCACATTCCTCTTGTGCTTCCTCTTTTCCAAAGGGCCAGAGCTGGGGGTAGGGAGGGGCTGGGCATGGTGGGTACCTGGTGAGCACCGGCCCTTCAGCTGTTACGAAGCCACCCCGGTGGGCAGGCACTACAAGCAGAGACTCCCAGGTCTGCAGAGGATATTGCCTAAGACCAGGGCCCGTGTCCCTTCCTGAGCTCCTGAAAGCTTTGCTGTGGGGTGCAGTGAAGCCCTGGGGGGCTTGTGGCTACCTTCTGGGATGCACTTAGCAGATCTTCATTCTGAGCAGGGACAGCCTTGGAGTGGACCCACCTGCCCAAGGTAGGTGGAACAGGCTTAAACATTGGGAGATGCGATGGGGAGCCTAGGAAACCCCGAGGGCCACACATCCTAGGGAATAAGCCGGACATAATTTGAGGTCCCAGGCTCTTCTATTGCATCAACCCTATCTCCTCATTCCGCCCTCATCTCCTCCCCTCAGGCCTGACCTGGAGCCAGGACTCTGTTGTTTTAAAAGTGCTCAGAAAATGGAGCTTTAGTCAGTGGGAAGAGCTGCGGATGGATGTGCAGCTGTGGGCACGCAGGCCCCAATTTAGTGGGCGTGTGCTGGGGGAGTTTTCCTATGTGCCCATGGTGTGTACACTGAATACCCCTCACCCTGCTGGCTCGCTGAGTAGCCCAAAGCAGGAGGAGCTGGACACTGATCCTTGGCACTTCTCTGAGCCCTTTCCCTGCCACTGGGTGGTGGAGGGAAGCTGTGGAGTCCCCCTTCAGCTCCCCCTTACCCAAGCTGGAGTGTGTAGCCAGGCCAGCGGCCTGACTCTGCAGAGGAACAGCAGGGCAGGCTGAGGACTCCGGAACTGAGCTTAATTCTGAGCGCTGTCATCTGGGCCATTAATGCCTATTAACAGCCTTACGGATACAAATCCAGACTGTCAAAGATAGGGTGTATTTATTGGCCATTCTACTGGGCTAGTTAGTTACTGACCCTCTTCTAAGCCTCAGTTATGTGAGTGGTCCTAGTAACAATGGTAACACCTACCGCATCGCTTTGTTATTTAGGAAATACGTTATAACAAATAGAAATAGTATTTTTGGTGTATAATTGTATGTGATATATAAAATCTGAAAATTATAGCTTTATTAAATAATGCATCTGGAACTCTTAACTGTGTACCTGACACATGGCAGGGGTCCAATAAATATTAGCAAGTCTTAACTGAATCTTGTGCATCTATTACCTGTGACCAAAGGGACGCCTGGGAGTAATAGTAAAGCACCCAGTCTGGGACTCTTTTCTTAGGCCCTACTTTTTTTATTTTTTTTTTGGAGAGGTTTTTGCTATAGGGCGCGTGCGCTCGCCAGACAGAGAGAAAGTGAGAAATCACCCCCTGAGGGGATGGCCACGCAGCAATCCCTTCTCCTCCATTCTCCTCTTGCGATCTTGGGCATGCAGGCACATGCACCGGGCGTGAGTTTCACCGGGTCCAGGACTCAAACTGCAGTTGACTACGTGGGAGTCCAGCGACATAGCCATTATGCCAATTGCTGGTCCCATTCTTAAGCCCTACTCTTAAAAAAAAAAAGAAAGTGTTCTAGGCCTTATTTCTTTGGAGATAAGATCTCCTGGACTTTGGGGAATCAATATGAATAGTTAAGAGGCAGGGCACTGGCAAAATGGTCTGAGGCCCATTTCCTCTTGCGCAAGTTATTTAACCTCTCTGTGCTTCAGCTTCCTCCTCTGTAAACTGAGGATAATAGTACCTACCTCACAGCAACGCGAGGATTAAATAAACTGATGTAGGTAGAGCTCTGAGCCCAGCAGCTGCTTGTAAAAAGAGCTTGATAGATGTCAGCTGCTGTTATTTGGTGACAATGGAGGCAATCATTGTGGTTTACACTTAGAAGCCAGAGTTCCTTCGCAAGGGAATTAGATCATACGTAACTATATGTAAGCTATGAATCTGCCCTTGAACTTGTGGTTCGGGGCAAAGAACATACCAGGACTGCATGTCCTCATCTCTCCCTTGCTGATACTGTGTGACTTGTTTTGAATTTCTCCGGAGACCTCATTCCTGCCTACCCCCCTAATGTGCATCCTGAAAGGTGCAGAACCTTCTATGCAGAAAGGTTATCTGTTGTTATTTTAATAAAACTGTCTGGGAGAGTGCTCTGATGTGGGAGCACTGCTCTGTCCTCTCTCCCCAGCCCTTGGGATCTCTGCACTGCCTCTGGGTGTCCAGATGAAAAACCCAGCCTAGCTGTCTTCGAACAGTCAGTGGCCCTGTTTGCTGGACAGCTAGGAGTCTGGACCAGTTGGTACCAGGCCCAGTGTCTCGAATGCTGATGCCACTTGATTCTCAGCAATAGAGCTGGAGTGTTGAGCTTTGTCCAGTGTATTAAGTGTTCCTGCTTGGGGGCAGGGGCTGGTGACAGAGCCATCACGGGATGGTCCTGATTCCTGGCCAGAACTTCCTGTCTAATCCCTTTTTCTACTGCATGGTCTGCGTTTTCTCTGCCCTGGGAAGAAGCCCACAGTTTTGCCACTGACCCTGCATGACTCTCGGTCGGCCTGGGTTTCTTTGTCTGCAAAAAGAGGACAATAGTATTCACCTTGCAGGGTTAGCCTGAGGATTCCACAGGACACATATATTTAGTGAAGCACCTGCCCGGACCAGGTGCTTAATAGATGTCCCTTCCCTTCCCCTTTGTTAGTTCTGAGGATCTCTCTTCTCTGGGGAACTGGGACAAGTCAGCAGCAGCACATTGGAGGCCAGTTCCTGGTCCTTCAGCCATGGAATAGAGTCAGTCAGAGTGCCCAGTCAGATAGGATGCCCTTGGGAGCAGGCAGCCCCCCACAGGCATTTGTTCTTCCCCAGTGCTCAGTGCCAGGCCCCGCTCCACCCCCAAAGGCCTGTTTAATTGCAAATGTACTTTGAGCTGGAAAATAGTGTCCAGGCTAGGAGTGCCTGGCCCGACCCTAGGGATGTAGCAATCGAGGTTTCCCACTCCTGGCTCCTGTCTCTAGAGAGCTGAGCACCCAGACACCTTCAGTGTGACTTTGGCATGTTGGCCAAGTCACATCTGAAAGGGATCCTGATTCAGCCTACACAGGCCTTCTCAGGGTGCAGGCAGGCCCAGGCTCCCTGCATTGTAGGAGCCAAAGGGTTTCTGGGGAGAGCGCTGAGCGGTGGGAGGGCCTGTAAACCAGAGACCCTGAGTGCCATGTGCAATCTCCAGCCCTAAGGGCTGTCTGGTTAGCACAGTTTAGCTTGGGAGGCAGGGTACTCAACAGTTTGGATTCCAGGGAGTCCTAGAGGAGGTTTGGGGTGAGCTGGACAGGATTTAGGAAGGAGAAGTAAGTGGAGTAAGGTAACCACTTTGGTAACAACAACAACAACAAAAATGCCTAATGAGTTTTTCCACCTTGGGCGCAGGGAGGTGTGTTGACTCACCTAGGACACAGGTAGCCATGCCAGATCTGAAGACAGAGCCATTTCCATGACCGTGGGTCTGATGCTCTTTC